ACGAYTGTCGACATTGAAAAGATTTCCACAGCAACCAACATTCTCCATTTGTTGAGCTGATCCTATGGCCCTTCTAGATTGCTGCCTCACATTTCCTGGTGCCAGATGGGGAGATAAGAGCATTCTTCAGCACTGAATTTCACCACACAGGAACTGAAAGGATYGTCCCTAGAAAGTTATGTTATCTTACGTTTACCATATGAAAAAAAAAGCAGCAGAAGTGGCTCCTCCTTCAGAGGAGCAAAGACAAACACAAAATCAAGGGTATGATGGAAAGACCAAACTCCGAGATTTTGCCGTCTTGCTCGGCCTGGTACTTCTTGACTGGTTTGTGCCCATCAAACATCCCAACAGGCCATCTAAGGACTTCTCCTTTACCTGTCCTGCACTTACAAATGCCAGAGCTGCAGCCACGAGCTCATTAACCGCATCCAGGAGGGCTATTTTTTAAGCTAGATATTGACCATCAGCCTGGCTGCCAGGGCCGCTCCTCTGTGGAAGCTGCCAAGCACCACAGGCTGGGCACATAAATGCCAAGCGCTGGACAGCCAATAAATCAGAAAAGGCCATGGAAACCTTCCCTGGTGAGACCTGTTGTTGCCCAAGAGGGGCCTGTTTYGACTCGGGGGGCACGCTGACCCTGACGGATGGGCCAGATACCTCAAGCACATCATAAAGCTGTSAAGTTTTTAGTGAGAGGAGCCTCGGGGGGTTACCCAGCAAAGCTGGTGGTGCCGCTCGTCACGAGGAGGGGGCTGCAGCGACCCACTGGGTACCCAGCCCTGCAATTCCCARTCTTGCTTGCCAGCCAGCCAGGAACACGAGCATCCCGCTCCACCCGAGCTGTCGGCTGCAATAAGGCCATCCTGCTGCCTCTTGGGGACTCGAGATCCTGGGAAATGCTAGTGCTGCTGGAAGACTGCTTCCAAAGACCACGCTGCACCCCGGCTTCAAACAGCAGCACTTCTATGCAGATATTTTTAGCCTTTCCAACAGACTCCAGAACATGTTATTTAACAGCAMTGTTCCCTCCAAAACAGAAGCAAATCCACCCAAAATGCACCTGAGACTCTGCTGTCTCAAATAAAGCATGCAGCTTACCCTCATTTCCCATCCATTATTCTGTAAGGGCAGTTTGTCACCACAGTTGGGCAACCACTGGAGATCAATACTGAGCAAAAGGCAGCACTCGGGGTCACCAGAGGAGACTGGCACATTCACCACCTCCTGGCTATCCGGTATTAAATTATTTCTATCGCCCAAGGTAAAACTTGGGGCTGTACACTACAGAATGGCAAAGGCAGTCGTAACAGAGCACCAAGCTATGGCAAAGGCAGCTACGACAGAGCATCAAGCTATGCAGGGTTTAAAGTCAGCTTCTCCTGTAAAGCAGCCCGCAGACGCAGTCTCCTGGGCTTAGCTTCTCCCTCTGCTCAGCTTTACTGGGATAAACCAGCTCGGGGGCAGCAGAGCAAGGAAACAGCTGAATTGCGGGTGAGGCACCATGTGGAAGAGCCAGGAATTCAGCCCATTTTATGGTGATTTTCTTCTGTTTAGGGGCAGAGGCCCTCAAACCTCAGGCACTCACAGACCACTAGCAGGGCTCCTCTGCTTCCAGGGCAAGCAGTGTCTCACTGTGGGACTGCTCCGCTGTCCCCAAAGTGCTGCAGCACCGAGGGGGTGCTGGCAAGGAGCAGCCCCCGCTCCCCGCCTGCCCCACGGCACCCGTGGGGCTCTCTCAGCCTTCAGCAACATTTGCCTTCATTTGGGCACCTTCAGGTCTAGGGTCGTTGTAAACCTGGCTMTGGCTAAGGCTGAACTGAAGAGCTGTTAATAAGAGGATAATGGAACAAGCCAATATAAAGGCAGATGCTTGGCTTTGAGATTAGCTCTTTGGAAAGCCTACAACAGCCTGAACCAAGGTAATTTGTGAGGAACTGTCACTGCTGCAAAGCTGACATGCCTCACTGCTATGACAGCAGCAATTCTTGCCTCCAGTTTCACAAGCCTCGATTTAAACTGATCAAACCAGACACCTGCCTATGCAAAGGGAATATGACTTATATCAGCATCAAGGGAAAGAGACGAGCTTTGAAGTGAGAGAATATTAATCTGGTCCTGTGATGTATGAGTTCTTATGCCTAAGCACTTGCATACTGTAAAAGCTTCATTTCCCTTGAACAAGAGTGCTAAAATGCACTCAAACTGCAACAGCAGGAAAGAGGTTGCTTCGAATYGGATATGTTTTTTCTTTCCTCTTTCTTTCCTCCCCAAGAAACTGTTTTCATGTCCCTCCAAGTGTTCTGGAGCGCACCCAGTCTCAACTATGCAGGGGGAAGAAAAGGAAGGGTGTCACTGTAAAGCAAATAATTTTCCAATAATCCTTCCCACAGTGTGAGTTTTCCACCTGGGAGGGCAAGCATCAGGGTCAACACTTTCTGCTCTCGCTCTTTCTACTAAGTTTCTAAATAAATAACTGGCTTTCGAGCGTTTGTACAACCCGATTCCCAGCTAAAGCTGCAGAGAGCTGCAGGTGCTTGCTTTGAAAGTCAGGCTAGAGTTTTGTTTTAGGCTAAAAAAAAAGCATATATACACCTATCATTTTCAGAGCTACGCTTTTAAGTCTTCTAGACTTTCCATTTAATAGGCGTTTTACACATGCCATTTCTTGAAATTTGGGAGCTTTTCATTTGTGGTGAAAAAAGTCTTTTTAATCCACTTGCACCTTTATTAGGCTCGTTCTTTAAATAGGTAATTTTTGTTTTCCTAATACAAGAGGGGCTTTCCAAGAGGAGTGCAAGGGGTTGGTAAAAATCACACTCCTCCCACAGCAGAAAAATCATCTACCACACCAGCTAAAGAAAGTCACAGAAAACAAGGCACAAACCATTGCAGATTGCTCCATGAACACAGTGAATCCACGAAAGAGCCACTGCTTGGAACAAGCTTATCAATTCTGGCCAAATTTGAGTCTAAAAAGAATCATCTGAATCTACTTTGATCCTTCAGGGTGGAAAGGAGACAGAGTATAAACAGTTTAACAGCAATATGAGGGCTTTCCAGCATATTCTCATGTATAACTTCTCCCTGGAGGACTACTAGAGAAACCATCACCTCCCCAGGGGCTACTGCCTCATGAGCTGATGATCAGCTCAGTACAGGCCCTTGTGTTTGTTTCAGAAGGAAAACCAGAGAACCTGACCCTTTTTCCAAGGCGCAGGGTTGGCTTTGGGTTGGGAATACAAGAAAGGGCAGGTAAGCCCTCCACCAAGGTCAAAGCCCCTCAGGCAGGTCAGTGCTCAAGCAAGGCTGCTTCCAGGAAGCTCTCCAGCCATCCAGCTGGGAGCAGCCATCCCAGGAGAGGCCTCAGGGCTGCAGCAACAACCTGTGTCACAGCACAAGACATACGAGACAGACGCAGATGTGCCCGAGACCTTTCCCATGGGAGCCCCACCCTAAGAAAGGTGCCCCAAATCATGCCCACAAAGTGAAGGCCCGTGCACCAGTGTGCACCCTTTGGAACTGAAAGCTATTTACTTTTCTTTGGGTTCTTTGCTTTCTGATGGTTTCATTCCTGAACCAACTCACTGCAGGATCAAGCAGGCACCTGTGTTGGCAGAAGGAAGAGGAGAGAAGCAGAGGTTAGAGCCACAGCAGCCCCAATTTAGATCAGCTTGGTCTGCTCTGCGCCAAGACTCAAGCCTCCTGTAACAGCCATGCAATTAGTCTGCAGTGTCAAATGAAACCTCTGTAAAGTGCGTCATTTAGCATTAACAAGCCAACTAGTCCAAATTAAACATTMGCATGGAATGTCTATTAACTGCTCTTCCCCACCTTCCCCACTCACCAAAAGCTACGAGGTTCCCTGAAGAGTAAAGGGCAGTAAAACCTACTAAAAAGAGCCTTGTATAATAAATACAGAAGTGTTACAATGAGGCATGCAAAAAAAAAATTCCAAAAAATCAACAACAAACTTTAACATAATCTGCTCRTGTTAAAATGTCTAATTACAATTTGTCTTGCAACAACTCATGAAAGTTTACCAATTTAAGCACACAGTATACTTTCACAGCCTCAAAAATGCAGCAAACCGTTTAAGTGCATTACTTGCCACTCTCAAGTAATACAGCATAGTTTTACAAGACTCATTTAGTTAAAAATTTACTTGGTTTCCAATCCAAGACTTGTGATAAGCCTCGGGCCCATCTTACTCAGCTAAAAAAATTGATCTCTCTACTACTTGTTACAGAGAATTTAATGCAGTGACATTTATGAGTTCCTGCAGTAGGAGCTTGTATAAGTGCAGGCTACCCAAGTATTCCACCCTAAATACCACTCAGAGGAAGTTTTAACCCCTTGCACCAAGGGACATAAAGTGCCTGCCTTTCACTGCTTGTTGATTTTTATTAATAATTTTATGTGTGTCCATAAATAGACTCCCTCCCCAAACACTGCACTTGAGAGACGCCCACTGTACAACAAGATGCGGTCTCTTCACTAACAGCAAAGCCATTGGTGTCAACACTCCATACCCAGAATCAGGAACCACACAGGCACCTCAGCCCCCAAGCACTCCATGCACTTAGGCTTGCTGCACAGGCTGACCAGCACTCCGGATCCAAGGAGGCGACGCAGAGAGAGCCACAGCTCTGCCCTGAAGCAGCTCGGATCCAGCAGTCTTAATCTGGACACGATACCACAGAAATGAGGCTCTCGAAGCCTTGAGCCGGTCCTGGAAGCCGCACAGCCGCATTCACAGAGCCCACGCCAGGAGGATTAGGCGCTGCCAGAACGGAGCTGGCTCCACACAGAGCCACTCGCACACGTTTGCACACACAGCACGGCTTACTTGCAAATCAGGACCAAGCCACCCACAGGTAACTAAGGGCTGACTAACTTGGACTGAGCAGAACTGGCACACGTTAACTCACTCATGACTAACAGATACCACATTCAGTTCCACAGTAATTGCAGCAAACAGTTCATTAGCTCGCACTCACCTTGGATTGGACCTGCAGACAAGTGACTCGTTTTCCTGGCATTTGCTGCCAGCAGATCCCCACTAAACTGCTCAGTCAACAAGTGTCCAGCTGCTGTGTCTGTGCTGGCAGGACAYCTGCCTCGTTTCTTTTGTTTCTTCCTCCACGTGTCCTCCTCATCCCTCTCTTCAGAGCCAGAAGACTTCTGGAGGGCTGCACTGTGTCTCAGGCTGTTCGATACTCTCCCACCCGGGGCATCGCTCGTATTTAACACATCAGCTGCAGCTCCGTGCTGGTTTAGGTAGCAGCCTTCCTCCACCTCCAGGTCATCTTCCGGGTTAAAACCGGCATCTTTTTTACGGTGACATCTTCTCGGAGCGGTTTGGCCTTTCTCTTCACTCAGTTTCTCAAACCCCGCAGGCAGCGGGTGCTCCAGGTGAGACGTTCTCACCGGCGAATAGCCGTGCACGTTCAAGCCGTTCCTCGCTACGCCCTCTTTCCCGGGRCCTCTCTTCGGGGAGGGATCCGGATCCGAGCTGGGGTCACCGGGGGCRGTTTCTTCCAGCTGCATCTTCTGGGCGATGTGGTTGAGGTAGGAGCGGAAGCGGCCGCTGTGGTGCCTCTGAACAAGCCGCGCGTAGGCGTTTTTCTGCGGCGCGCCGCCCTTGCTCGGCCCCTCTCTGGTACCCTGGGCACAGGCACTTCTCACATAGCCCGGCTGATCCATAGCGCAGCACAAGGCCCGGGCTTCAAAGGGTTGTAAATAGACACAGRGGAAAAAGAGGGTTATTTTCTCAAAAATAAAGGGTCAAAGACTTGATTATGCTAATGGACATGAAAGAAATGGACTTCACTAAGTAAGAACGCATAGATCTTTACAGATATTGCGGGATGAGAAGAACCAACGCTGGGGATAATCACATTAAAGCACAAGGAAGTTGACCAACTGGCTGCCGTTAAATCATTGTCAGTGGCCTAGGAGCGAGCCTGTAAGCCAGCCCTGTTCACAAGGCACACAAAACAGGGATGCTGTCCAGATCCTTATATCCCAAATACAAACGATTCCTATAATCCTCTCTTCCTTGCCTTTGAAAGCGCCCAGCAAGTAAAGGCAGTACCTGACAGGCGGTRGAAGATGCCTGAGCTCAAGAGGTTACCAAGAGGAAAATCTTGTCATGTTCGACACGGAGCCGTCAAAAATTGCATCCTTACTGAAGTGCTGAAATGTCGCACTAAAAAGAACATACGTTGCCTCTTCCCTCACTTCACATATTGTATTTCTACAGTGATTGACTCCACCAGATGAAACAGGGCGCTTGTTTCAGGTATCAAGCCTAACCATTCCAGCTTGTCGATCCTGCCACAAACCCACTCCCAGGGTAACTGATTTAGCATAAACTCCCCAGCACAATGTTGCTTAATGATGAAGGCGCACTGGCTACCACTCCAAGCTGCACTTTTCTGTAGACATCACCAAACTCCCATCTTTTTGGCACAAGGGAGGATCGAGCACCTTTTGTTACTGTCTCAACTGCTCTAATTTTKGGGGAGAAACGGTCTAGTGCATTTYCCTCTGTGCTACTAAGGAATATTGCAGGCAGGAACGGGACAAATCARTGACTTTTTGTTCTATCTACTATGAAAGAGAAATACCAATATTGATAATGACGGCCTGGACTGACACATTTCAGAGCGACTGCTGCCTGTCTGGGGTGCACTGCTGGTCCCTCCTTGGAGCGCCTGCTTCGGCCCTTTCGGAGAAACACCACACGCTGTAACTTGATTTATTAAGTAATTGAGCACGGACGCGAACAGACTTCCCAATACAAAGCAAAAATTAAAGAAAAAAACCTTGAATAAATAGGAAAAATTCTTTGTGTGGTTTGTGATTCTTTTTTCCTAAGATTTTCCATTGTTGCTGGCCAATAACTAAACCTTGCTAAGAGGCTGTCCTGCTGCAGAGCCCTCACGCGGGTAGGTCTGCAGCACGCTCTCGCCTCCCGCCACGCCGCTGCCAGGCCAGCCGAGGCAGACGGCGCCTGCGGGGCCAGCGAGGGCCCTCTCCAGCGGCGCCGCGCTCGCCATCCTTACCGATGAGGACACATTCGCTCGCTATGGTTTAGGTCACGCTGCTCGTGTCAGTGATGAGGTGCGGCACGCACCGCGAGACCCCGAAACCCAGCGGCTTTAGGGGCCGTTGGGTCCGAGCCCAACGGGGACCCCACTGTGGGGGCCCTAAACCCAGTGGGTTCAGCGCAAGGTGGCTACRAGCTCCCAGCTTCCTGAGGGGGTGCAGGGGGGGCGGCAGGGTGACCCCCACACACAGGGCCCGGTGGGGACGCGCCGGGCAGCGGGAAACGCTGCTCGGCCCCCCTGGGCACCGGGGGCTCCGCGCTAGGCCTATCCCCCCCCGCGGAGGATGGGGGCTGCGCCGCGTCCCGGGACGGCCCCTGAGCCCCGCTCCTGTCCCCGGAGCCTCCCCGGGCACGAGCGCGGGCCCGGCCCGAGCGCCGGCATGGCGGCGGCGCCGCTGAGGGGCCCGGGCGGCCCCGGCCCGTGCGGGGGGCGGCGGTTCCGCCGCGCGGCCCCGCGGGACACCCGGAAGCGGAGGGGGGGGGGGGCGGGCCGGATCCCCCCCCCGCCCGGCCCCGCCACTCACCGGCCCGGCCGCTCCCCGCGCCGCTCCGCGCCGTTTAAATGGCCCAACGCGCCGCGTCCACTTCCGGGTCAGGGGCGGGCTACGGGCCGCGGCAGGGCCCAGAAGGCCTCAGGGGCGAAGGTGCCCGTGCGGGGCCGTGGGGCTGGGTCGGTGCCCCGGCTCTTCGCACCCGCGGACATGGCGGGACATGGGGCGGGAGCGCCCGGCACCCCCAGCCCAGCCCAGCCGGCAGCCCCTCGCMCAGCCCGGGCCTGGGCGCCTGTCCCGAGAGAAAGGGCTGCCCCCATAACGTGTCAGGGTGTCCGTGACGGGGTCGGGGTGCCCAGAAAGGAGTCACTGATCCCAGGGGGGAGGCAAGGTGCCCATAAGGGGGGTCTAAGGCAGGTCAGGGTGTCCGTGAGGGGGCAGGGGCTCCMTGGGCGTTCAGTGTCCGTAAGGGAGGCCAGCGTGGCCGTGGGGGGCTCAGGGTGGCCGAAAGGGGGTTAGTGACCCCAGGGGGGACGTCACGGTGCCCGTAAGGAGGCCTAAGGGCGGTCAGGGTGTCCAAAAGGTGGTCAGTGGCTGTGAGGGGGGTCAGGGTGTCCAAAAGGTGGTCAGTGGCTGTGAGGGGAGTCAGGGTGTCCAAAAGGTGGTCAGTGGCTGTGAGGGGAGTCAGGGTGTCCATGAGGGGGTCAGGGTGTCCAAAAGGGAGTCAGTGACCCCAAAGTGGGGGTCGAGGTGCCCATAAGGTTGGTGTAAGGGAGGCAGGTTGTCCGTGAAGGAGTGAAGGCGCCATGGGGGGGTCAGTGTCCATAAAGAGGGCCAGGGTGCCCCAGCCCCTATCCTGCCCACAGGCCGGGCCTATGGATGAGCCCCCGCRGCCTTGAGGACATCCGTGCCTCCAAAAGCAGTGCTTCCCAAAGCCTCCCGGAGCGCGTGGCCTCCCATCCCTGCAGAGGAGGCCAGAAGAGGCCCCGGGCTCCTGCCTCCAGAGCCATTGGCTTTCCTGCCCCCACGCAGTGAGGCCAGGCACGAGGCAACCCGTTGAATCCCCGCACGCATCCACACGTCATCCAAGCAAATGACAGTGACAGTTCTGAGCAGCCTGATTGCTGCTGGGATAAGTCAGAGCCTTCACATGACAGGGTGACATTAAAGCAAGCAAGGGGACTCCAGAGCTGGGACTTTTACTGCCTTCCCTGCCTGTGGCTGCAAGCCTCCCACAGGGATTTATAGCAGAGTCAGATCCAGGCCTTAGCTGGCTGGGAATAGGTGGTTTGGTCGTCCTGTTGTTTTTTGCAGATTCAGCCTGGATTTGCCAAAGAATCTCAGCCAGAAGAGAAACTGGGGCGCAGGAAACTAGCTTCATGGCGCCACTCCTGGGGAAAAAAACAGCCTCTTTGGAGCTCTTTGCCCAGGGCAGCCCCCCAGGATGCAGAGGGAGGGTTTGAAGGGGCCCTGCAGGGCCCCGTGCAGCCTCCAGCCTTTCCTCCGGCAGGAATGTGGCTCCGAGCGGGGCCCCTTGGCTCCGTGCGTGCTTGTGGTGCCCTGCATTGAGGGGACCCATGCCCTTGGTGCCCAGGGGTGCTGCGGGGCTCTGCRTGGTGCTGCCCCGAGCGCAGCAGCAGCAGCACCTGCGGCTGCCGTGCCGCTGCTCCCGGACACGCGCTCACCTCCCGCCCCGGCTGCCAGCTGGCGCTGCGGAGCCTCCCTGCAGCCCTGTCCGCAGAGCTGCAGATGAAAGGCTGGAGGTGAAGCTCCCCGCCGCAGCCAGGCTCCGGCGGCTCCCCCCGTGCAAAGCCACCCACAGAGCCCCGGGAGGCAGCGCCCAGCTGGGCCCTGCTCGCCCGGCCGGAGCCAGGGATGTTGTGSTCTCAGGGAGCACCAGTCTCAAAACTCACTTCTAAATACAGCAGGGACCAAGGGAGGCTGACAGCAGCAGCTGTAGCCATCGCGCCGCCCTCTCTCTGAAGGTTCACCCTGGTGTGAGCTTGGCCAGTGTGAGCAGAGCGTCTTGGAGCAGCACGGCTTTGCAGACCAGATCTTTGTGGCCTTCTCTAGTGGGTCTCCTCTCTAGACTCATCATGCGTTGGGGCTGCGGCCCCTGCAGCGCAGAGTCTCTTGGCGCACGTCGCTTCTCGTGGCTGCCTGTTTGCAGAGGCTGTGCAAATCTCCACGGGGAGATGCGAGGAGCTCGTCCAGCCGGGAGAGACGGAGATGGGACAGGGAGGAYGAGCCAGGTGGGAGCAGGAGAGGCAGCTCCTCTCGCCCTCCTCGCCGCTGGGTCACGCTGTGTCTCTGCTCTTCCTCGCACCGTGGGGATGCAGCCGAGCCTTGGCCGGGCTCCCTGCTGCACCAGGTGGTACCGCCAGCTGCAAGGGCTTCAGCGCTCCGTGTCTGTCCCACCGGAGATGACAGCCTGGGCAGGAGCAGGGGGTCTGTGAGCATCACTGCCATCACTGCCGCGGCCGAGCCGGGATTTCACACGTGGTGGGAGGGACCCCACGGCTGCACCCACCATCATCCTCGTCCCCCGCCTCCAGCTGCGCCTCTGTTGCATAAGGGGCCAGCACAGCCCATGCACATTAGCAGTGTCTGACGGTCTGTAAATGTGCCTGGTCCATGGGGTAGGGGCTGTGTTTGTGCCCCACGCTGTGCCGTGCCCCATCACTGACCAAGAGGGACAAGAGGCAGCGCAAGCAGGTGTCACCTTCCCAGCCCGTGGGCCCGCAGCAGAGCCCTGCGTGGCACGTACCCGGGGACCTAGCGTGGCACGTACCCGGGGACACGGGCAGACGTGCCGGTGGGCCGGCACTAATGCAGGATGTCACCAAACCCAATCTCTCCAGGCAGGCGGGGAAGGCTGCGCTACTTGAGGCTTGCTGGTCTTCCACGTTGTCTTCCATCCACACCGTCCGCGTGGCTGCAGAGCAGGAAGCATCGCCCACCTCCTCACCATTCCTGCAAACCTCGAGAGCGGCCCATGAGCTTTCCAGAAGGGAGCAGGTCCACAGGTAGGTTTTTGCCCCACGCTCTCCTTCCGCGGGGTCCTGCAGCAGCAAGCCCAGTCTGGTGTCCCGGCTTGCTTTCCCACAGCCCGGGATTATCTCACCGTCTTCCCCCAGGCGGTGCCTGGTGGCTGCTCCCAACGTTCCCGGCTGGAACGTGTTGCAGCACCTCGGCTGAGGCGAGGGCTCCGTGGCRCTCGCTGGCTGCAAGCGCCCTGCTTACGAAGCCTTTGGCTCTCCTGCTTCTTGTGGCTTTTCGGAGGAGCGGGGACCCACCCTGACCTCGTTTACATCAGTGCTCATCAGCAGTGACTGGCCAAGCGGATGGAGCCGCCCCAAGATGACTAAAAAAGGGGAGCCCTGTGGATGAGAGCAGAGCGATTCCCCGTAGGAGCCTGTCTGCCTCCAGTCTGCCTATCCAATGGGTACAGACACTACGCGTGTGAGACGGAAACCTCCCTTGCAAACCCTGATGTCATCGCTCATGGACATGAAATATTTTGGACTGCAGGAAGCAAAGTGGGGATTGAGAGCAGTGGGGTGCTCAGCCTGCATCTCTCTGGTGTCAGAAGCTAGACCACACAGTGCAAAGGCATGTTCAGAAGCAGAGCAGCGCCTGGCCATAGGCTCGCTCCAGACCTCCGAACACCCTTGAAAATGTTTCAATTGCAGCATCTCCCATAAAGTTATGCCAGAGTCTCGCTCGCTTTGACATTGCTCAGGCATGGGGAGCTGCCTGAGACCTTGACCTAGAGAAACGAGGCATGCTCGGGGGCTTGGGGGGAGGGAGATAGATTTATTACCATAAATAAGTCAAAAACATCTCTTTCCAAGACAGATCCCTATCTGCTCGTTGTGTCACAACAAAAGTGGTCTTGCCCCACCTGTCCTTCAGCTTCCCCAGTTTTCTCCCAAGCCCTCCATACCTCCGCGTTGGGAAATACACCGCAAAGCATCAGGACTGATGGGTTCCCATCTCCTTTAGACAAAACAGTGCCTGGAGGAAGGCCGGCAGCTCTGCCCTGGGCAGGGGAGATGCCTGATCTGGCTGTTGGTCCAGCACAGGGAAAGGACAAGCACCAGGGAGGAACAAACAGGCCAAGAAAGAGGTGAAGGAGACAGGGGAGGAAAGAGACGGGATGCTGGGCAGGCCTCAGGGCAGCAGGTTCAATGCCTTCCTGCCTCCTGCTCTGCCTGGGGATTCCAAGCTTTTCTCCTGGATCACTTCAAACCTCTTCCCCTGACATCCTCCCTGGCTCTGTCTGCTCTAATCTCTCTTCCATATGGCCCTTGGTTTCCTTTAGTCCCTTCCCCATAGCCAGCAAAGGGCCGAGCCTCCCAGTGGTGCCCCAGGGAGCCTGGGGAGAGCAGGCTCCCAGCTCCCGCGAGGACGGGGCGCACGGAGCGCCCGCCGGGAACGGGGCTGGGTTTCCAGAGCTCCCATGGAGCTGCCCTGCAGGCGCTGAGCCGTGGGGAGGCCCCCAGGGGCCCGGAGCAGGCGCAGGGCCTGGGCAGAGAGCTCCAGCCTGGCGTGATGCTCACAGCGAAGCAGAAATGGTCCCTCGGAGGCCAGCGGGGCCACCAGCCCTCACTGCTGCAGCAGCCCCCTCCTCACAACACCCCCATGTCCCCCCCATCCCGTCCCCGTCCCCACAGGGCCCGTCCCGGCGGCGCAGCCGCGGCGCGCGGGGGCAGCGGCGGCCCTGCTGGCAGCCACGGCGCTCCGCGAGGGCGCAACTTATCAGTATTACCTCATGAGAAAGCCCCGCGCGGCCCTATCTCGAGCAAACAGCGGCCGCTCTGTGCGGGCGGGCGCGCATTGTTATCCCGCCCGCTCGCCGGGGCTGTGGAGCCCCGCACGTCCTCACGGGCCGCCATGCGCGGCGGCGGGCCCGGCCGCGGCCGACGGCGCTCCCGGCCTTTCCCGGGCACGGCCGCGGCCCCGGCGAGCCGTTATCGGCCCCGGCCACGGCACGTAGACCCATCCCGGCCACCGCCGGGCCAGCCGGCGCCTTCCCCTCTCCC